GTGATTTTATGAAACTGAGATAAAAGTTTTCCTGAAAGCTGATGCAGTGCAAAATTTGCAACTCACAAAGGAAACTGCGACAGAAATTTGTATGGACCAAAATATGTATGTTCCATCTACAAGTGAACACTATACGATTTATTATATCAAGATGTACTTATCCTCAAAAAATAATTCCCAAGTTTGTAAACACCCTGTATATATATATACATATATATATATATATATATATATATATATATATATATATATATATATATATATATATATATATATATATATATATATATATATATATATATATATATATATATATATATATATATATATATATATATATATATATATATATATATATATATATATATATATATATATATATATATATATATATATATATATATACAGGTGAGCCACGGTGGGTGGAGTATTAGAAGTATATGGAGAATGGATCAACCGATTGCCTTGAAATCTTGGTTACCAAGATAATCGAGTATGATCTCTCCAACTAAAATATTTTCGAAAGTGTGGTGTTGCCACTTATACGTAAAACTGGCAACATCTTCGTTATTTTAAATGGAATACCCTGTATATTTTTAGGTTTTTTTGGATCGTCGTCTCTTTCTGAGTAACTTTTGTTAATATTTCCCTATACCTATCTCAAGCCGTTTTCGAGATAATAATTCTTTTCTGAATTTATTGCCAAAAATTTGACTTTCAGTAAATCGTGTTTTCTCCTACCTACGCAGCAATTAAAAGATAATTTTTTAGTTGCGGCTAGGCAAGGCCTGGGGCCATCTCCTCCATTAATCAAATGTTTCGAATATCATACAGGGTGAGTTAGAGAATGCTTTCTATAAGTGACTTAGAAAAATGCACGAAAGTCATTTTTTTTAAATGGAATGCCCTATATATTATTACTGATTCGGAAAGGCGATACATTTACCTATTTAAAAAGGTAATATACTCTATATCTAATGCACACCGTTTTCGATTTATGGGCACTTTATACATATATATATATATATATACATATATATATATATACATATATATATATATATATACATATATATATATATATATATATATATATATATATATATATATATATATATATATATATATATATATATATATATATATATATATATATACTTTTTCGAAAAGGTAATAGCAATAAAATATAAATATAAAACTATTAAGAAGTATACAGGGTGGGGCAATAGTGCGTTGGACCTCAATATCTCGAGTTCTACGATAGCTAGAAATTTTTTAAAAAATTGCAAGTAAACTAGATAAAAAAGTCTATAACTGGAAATTATTTTCGAACATACAGCGCGAGCCAAAACGAAATTACAGGACCAAGTGCCTTTTTTTTAAATAGAATGCTATGTATTGTATATCAGTATATTTTTTGAAGCCTCTTTCTAGGATCTATTCATTCCTATATTATTATTGGCTATCTCCCAACCACTTTGATGTAATGAATTTTTTTGTTGAAATAATGCCATCTGCAGATGGATATTAAAAAATCACCACAGTCACAATTATGGGTTTTAAGAAAACTTATACGAATACCAGTTACGAGACATCTAATTAATATTTTTGAATCATTTTCATTTCCTAAAAATGTACAGGGTGGCCAAAAATTAGTATTCAACTACTTCGACGATTTCAGTGTGAAATAATATTTAAATATATTAAACTTAAATAAAAATTATGTTTTCAAAATTATAAACTTAGAAGGGAATAAATATGGTAAAATAGGGAAAATACGGGAAAATATATCAATTTTCAAATTCTTAAGCTTTAATTCTCTCTAAATATGTTCGAAGTTTCTTCGATAGAGTACGAACGCAAAATTGTTGGGGTTAAATTTGACAATTAACCTGACTTGCTTTAAATAGATATGGAAGGTCTTACCTTACAAATCTAACAATCTCCAGGGGTTATCCACGATGATCCGGGATCCTTACTGTCTTAGGTGTACCGGAGTTCTATCTTCCTCTCAGCCTCTTCTGACAAGCTACTCAGTTCACTTGCGGATTGAACCTACTTTAATTCAGCCCAATGTCTCCTCCAGATTCTTCTTCGATAGAGTAATCTTGAAAAAGGTGCCATTTGCACAATGGATGAATTAATCAGGAACGAAAGTTCTTTGATTTGTCTAAAATTTTTAAGAAAATACATGAGAATTACGAATAATCGTATCTATCTTCAATAGATGGACCGACCGACAAATCCGACGCGACTGTGCCAATTAAATAACTTTAAACTCAAACTTCATTTTTAAAAAATTTATTTTCTTTTACAAAAATCACAAGTTAAAAAATGTGCACAAACAAAAAGCAATTCGATTAGTGACAACAAAGGCGAGATAGTAACTGGCTTAGTTTAGAATTACAATAATATATATAGTAACATTTTGATGAGAACAGCAAGTGCTGATATAAACAATATACATTTATTACAATAATATTACTCGCGGAGCTGAAAAAGCTTATCAAGACGCTCGCTAACAAGAAAGCGCCGGGATCGGACGGTATCAATCATAAAATACCCAAAAATCTGCAGAGGAAGGGTATTGTCCAACTTATGCACATCACCAATGGCATTCTGCGTTTGCAGCACTTGCCTAGCTAATGGAAGGGTGCGGTAGTGTGCCCCATTTTGGAACCAAACAGAAATCCGAAAACGGCTGCGAGTTACCGCTCGATATCATTGCTACCTGCGGTATCTAAACTGGTCAAAAAGATCATTTTGAAGCGACTAAACACTGTCCAGGACAATCTTGAAATCGATGACGATATTCAGTTCGGATTCAAGAAGGGACGCAGCACGACTCGGCAGATCATCAGGATCATTAGTGATGTAAAGCGACAGTACAATCTCGATAAGAGCACCGCCATGGTGCTCCTGGATATTGAAAAAGCCTTCGATAGCGTCTGGTTGCGCGGTATTATTTATAAACTGCATCGGTAAGACTTTCCGGGCCACTTAACCCACTCTTACTTGCACATCAGAAGACTGTGAGTGAGAGTGAATAAAACTCTCTACACAGAGGGACATTAGAGCAGGCGTACCGCATTGGTTTTTTCTCGCGCCAAAATTATACAACATATACGTGTCCGACTATCCGCGGTTCCCGAACACCAAGTTGGCGATGTTCGCCGACCATACCGCCGTGTACTACCACTACCATCATGCTCAAGTTGCTGGGCAGTTGCTAAAGGCGCACATGGTACGGGCGTCAGTCTACTACGCCAAGTGGAAGGTGAAGGTGAACGTCGCCACGTCGGAGGCTATTATTTTCACAAGAAAATTTACCAATAATAGAATTATTACACCTATTTTGATGGGGGTTAGTCCAATTGAGACGAAACAGGAAGTAAGATATTTAGGCGTAACTTTTGGTAAAGGACTATATTTCGGAAAACATGTAAACGAGACGATACGTAAAGTCTATTCCGTGTCCAGGAATCTATACCCCCTGATGGCGGGGAATAGCAGATTAAACAGGGATAACAAAAAATTGATTTATACTATGATAGAACGGGTCTTATTGAGTAATGAGACTATGGAGTACAATAAGCTTAAGCTTCAGTACAGCGGGTAGTTTAAACCGCAACCCGTAAGGAAAAAAATGATATTGAGACCGGCCCTAACGTATGCTGCGCCGGCCTGGTGTTCCGTGAGCGCGACGATGTTGTACAAATTGGAAGTTTTAGAAAATAAATGTGTACGCCTAATAAGTAACTCGACAAGATGCACCCCCTTAAGGGAATTATGCCAAATTTGGAACGACATTGTACCCATAGTGGTCTATATCAGAGATAGTTCCGAACGATTCTACGAATTTAAACTCTCTGGTAGTCCACTAACCGCCAACATCACTCAAATAAGGGAGTATAACGCTCCTTTTCGGATAAAACACAAATTACCATATCAGACGTTACCAATATTTTGACAACCTCTTTAGGCCACCACGCTATCTATAAATAGGGTGCCAAAATCAAAATTTTCACCTTTCTCTTCCTTTCGTTTTGTTTATTTTCGTGTTCTAAATTCTCTTCAATTTTTTCCAACTTATAAGAAAACCATCAGTAAATTGCGGAACGTTATAAATATACAAGAATAATTTTCTACGTGAAAATAAGCGGAGTTGGGCATTCCCGCTCTCTATCTCAGTATTGTTTGGAGACGAGCTTTTTTACTGTGGCAATTTGGCTCGCCGTAGTATACCTAAATTCGAAATATATATACATCAATTTACACTATACTTCATTTTTCCAGTATTATTTTAAAGTATTTTCATTAGCGACGCCTGCTTTTACATGCGTCGCTAATTCTATTCATTAATGTTATTATACAATTTAAATTATTTAGTTTAGGTGTTGTATTTATTGTTTACTGTTATTTTTAAGTCCGGACCGGCCCCGCTCCGCCCGACCTAACAATTGCCCCGACGATCTCATACATGGGGATGCTAGGTCGGCAACGGACCGGGTGTCCGGCGAGGGATATATTCTTCGGCTAATTTTGTTCTTGCATCTTTTGATTTGATTTAATTCGTTACCAATCATATCACTACCAAAAATAACAACGAAAAGTTGAATTATAATTTGGGTAATAGCCACATTAATAAATATTTTAGCTATCGTTTTGTCAAGATATCTCAAGCATTTTGATTAACACTCGTTTAACGTTATTGAATAAAAAATATAAGCTTTTAATCTGTATAAGTATTATCTTTTAGTCTCAAAAGGCCCATAGGGTAATACATTTTGGGACATTGAGCACTCTACTATTACAAAAGTGTAAAGATGAATCTTCACACTTGCGCTTGTTCACATAACAATTTTAGCTTGAATTAAACAGCACAGAAAAGACAACCCCGTCAAGTTACCTTTTGTGGGAGAGGACTACACATTTAGAGACAATGGACACACACCCAATGTCCGAGTGTACTATGATTAATTTCTGATTTAGAAAAAATCCTAGCTCCTCGACCGGAGATCGAACCCGGGACTCTAGGGCGAGAGGCAAGTGTTTTTACCGCTTGACCACAAAGTAACACACAATTCCAAATAAAATATTGTGTGAGGATTTGCTATGGATTCCGGAGCAAATTAGTCATTATTTAGGTTTGCGAATAAATCGTACATGACGTAAAAACCAGAAGATAATCCAGGATACTGCGCTGATATACACATATAAAAATATGATAAGTGAGGAGCTTATTTTCAAAACTCAATTTCTGCAAAACACTTTTTTAGGGATAATTGCATAATTTTCTATAACTAAATGTCTCTTATATTAAATATAAGAGTCCTCTAACCATATGCCACAACACGTCACAACATGTTGTGGCGGTAATGGCGTATTCGGTAGTTCGTCTTCAAATAATTTTCTTCGAGACGGCGCGCGGCGCTTTTGAAAATGTCTTCTTCACGCTGGCTAATAATCTGTCTATTATGGGATAGCGGTCTCTAACAGTTTCTGCAATACGATGAAGTCCGTGTGCTAAACATGTCACATGTAATAATAAATTTACATACTTGTGTATTTTCTAAGCACATTTCAAATGCCTTCATGAAGGAAACTGCGTCGGTTACATAAAGTAACACACGTCATTTATTGTTCTACTAGTCGGCTTTCCATATTTTCCTTAAAAACAAAAATAACATGCACCATTTTGGGGTTAATTAGGGGAAGAAGATATTGCCGTAAGGGTTACCACAGCCGTCCCGATGACCCGTGCAGCTAAATCGAGCGCTGCAGTGAAAGGATTAAATTGTTTTTCTGCAAAAGCAGAAGCACCATGTTATATGCCTATTTATGATATGATATGTACGGACCTGGAATGTACGAATTACCCGCAGTTTTTAATAATTAGTTGAGCAGATTCAACTTTTTTAGGAAGAATGCTTTCAATGACATCGAAATTTAGGAACAATTTAAAAAATCTCGTTTTGGCTATTTAACTGTGAAAATAAGAATATAATTAATTATAAAATATATTCTATCTAAAAATAATATTATTTCAAATCCATTTCATTTGACAATGTTTATTTTAACATAAAAATATCTGATGTGGCCAGCACATAACTTTCTTACACCAGTAATATGTTATCCTGATCTAAAACAATCATTCTATTTAATTCTTCACTTACCTCAATTAAATTTTAATAGCGTACCTTGAAATGTTTCATTACATTTTTTAAATAATTAATTATTAGCGTCATTCGATACTGTCAATAATAATTCATGTCATATATTTTAATAATTTCTTCTTATTGACATTGATATTTCAAAAATCAAACTGTTAAATTTATCCTAACCCCATGAGGTCAAATGTGGAAAAAATTTTAGTTTACGTCAGCTTTATTTAAGTACTTGGAAAATATATTTTATTGGCTTGATATAATAGACATGATTTATAATCTTTCATCAAGAATTAATTTTTTTTGTAAAGACAAATACAAAAAAAGTTTGGGTCCCGTGGTCCTCCTTTCAGCTGGCCAATTTTGCTCAGCACCGAGTTTATCATTGTCTTTGGCCTTTAAAACGTGTACCAAATTTGAAAGATTTTTCTCAAAAACTGTGACTGCACAAAGTTATGTTTTTTCATTATAATTCATCGAGATTCGTCCAGAAATGCAATAATAATTTTTAACATTTTTTCCCGAAATTGTTTGAAAAGTTTTTTCTTCTTCCATTCATTATGTCTCTTCTGGTATTCATCAAATTCAATGTGACCCAAAATGTTGAAAATCTTAACTGCCAAATTTGGGAAGTCTCCCATTAGTATTCTTGAGTTATCGTGCGTGCGCGCACACCCACACATGAAACGAAATTGCAAGCCATTTCATTCCAGTTTGTTGTTGTCCACGATGAATTAAGTTTCTGCCAGTCTAGTCGAGATGGCGCCACTGATTTCTACTGGAACAGTTGGTTTTGCAGATTTTTGCACTAAATATCTGTCTATCTTTATTGCTCATACCCTACTCTCAAATGTCTGTCTCTTTCCAAACTATAACCGAGTTTAGGTGGCAGAACAGAACTAAGCTTCTTTCTTCTTACTAGTGTAGCGTTCTGATGGAAACCATCTCTAGTTCAGCGGTCTGGTAAAATTTATATGTTTTCTGGTATCATCATTTGATTTTATGATCATCATTATTTAAAAAGTTGCTATATTGATTTAAGGTACCTTTGAGTTCATTTGCATAATAATATTGTACCGTAATTATCTTAATTTACGCCTTGGGCGAATTTGCTTTTCGGTGATCAGTTCACCCTGGTTGTTCTTTGGAACAGCCATCATTAATATTGATTGGTATCGATTTATCGTGCCTTATTGGCAATTTATCTAATATCCCTCTGATATTGTAATAAGTTCGTGTGCTAATTTAAACTAACTTTCGGTTATTGTCAATTTTAGATTTACTCGGCAACGGAGGTCGCCATTTTGTATCGTAGTTGTTTTCTGTCTTTGTCTGTTGATGATTTAGGTCACTTAGCTACATTGGTAGCGCTCTGAACAGTGGTAAACTGGTGACATTTGGAGATTGGTACACCTTGTTGGACCAAACCTATTTGTTTATAACCTTTTTGAAAATTATCTAAGGTGGTGCATTTGTTTTGTGGTGGACTATTTTATACCAGTGCATATATTTATCAACCAGACCTCAGTAACGTAAGGTTTTTCTAAATTTAAAATATCGAATGCTTACTTGAACGTTTACTTAGTATTTAGTCAGGAACGCTGCTCTAGTGGAGCCTTGCCTAGTTCTCTGGCAAAGATACCTGCCTAGTTATCTGGCAATTGATTAAATTTTGATTATCTACAGTAAACATATAGTCAAGTTATGTATCTTTCTTTATTTGTAATTCATTATTCCCTCTCTCCGAGGAACTAATAAATAATTTAATTTAACGTTACCTTCAAGTTGAGAACTATCATATTATTTTATATTTAGCAAATACGTATTTACGTTATCTTTCTAGTTGTCTGTCTGTATACAGACATTCTAAATTCTATTTTCTTGAAGATTAACTTCTTTTAGTAAAAAAATATCTTAACATTTAGTGAATACCTATTTCACTTGTTTATTATCGTACACCTAGTTTATTTGTTGGACTATTATTTTTTCTATTTAACGTAACTTTTATTGATACTTAAGTTAGTTGAAGTCTTCAACTTCCTAAAATATTGTGGGATACCGATCCTAGTTTGTTTAGTTTGCAATTTACTCTGTAAATTTGTGTTAACTCATATTTTGTCTACGTAGCTGGACAATTCAAACGTCACAGCTTTTAACTTTGTTTTGCCTATAATACTGATCTTATAAAACTCTCCCCTTTTTATGTAAATACCTGGACCAAGAGAAGAGGACAACTGGTGGATGGAACTGATCATTATATATTGGGTGGAGCAGGAAAATGATATTTTATACAACTGGCATTCTTTCTCAAGGGTAACTGCAGTACTGACAGTGATGAGTTAAACTGACACCGAACCCATTAAGAGCTTAGCCGTTGGTGGATTCTTCGCTGGACTAACCCATTGAAGTTGCGTAAGATCTTCGTCCCCAGTAAACATTTTTATTTGGTCAGAAGAAATTTGTAAGATATCAGTTATTTTTAATTTTTTTTCTCTTTCACTAACATCATTTTTTTTGTGTGGTTAGTTTATTGGTCTTCAACCTGAGCCAATGTAAATATTGTACATATACCAGTCTTATTATACTTTTTATTAAATAGTATCTTTTTATTCAACTTCTTCCCAACAGAATTCAACTTTTAACGTTATCTTTACCTTTTAAAGTAAAATTTTAATAATTTGGTACTTGCAAGAGTCCTGGCGCCCAGCCTAGATTTTGGTGAGAACTCAAATCAATCTAAGCCCTTAATCACGACCTGCTCACTGAGCTATCGGTTAATAAGTACAACCCCAGCTTATTGTGTTATGCCAACAATTGGACTGGGGGTGTTGCAACACACACACGTACACACACACGCACTCACATCACACACACACACACACACACACACACACACAAACAAACACACACACACGCATGCACGCACGATCGCACCGACAGACATCATTCGGAAAATAGTCAGAATGGATTCAGAAGAGTTCAAAACGTATATATCAATCAAAATATCGAGGTCGAAAAAAATAACAATTACTATACTTCCTTATTAGGTAGAAAAAAGTAAAAAAATTGGAAGGTAATTTGCGTGATTTTTAATTTCATATTTATGCAAGGATTTAAAATGTTTGTTACAAACCTTTAATAAAATAAAAGCAAACACGGTAGAGGATTATTACTTAGTTTTATGTTTACACAGTGAATTATTCTGTATTCCTCTATAAATAAAGCTACACTATTATAACTATTTGCTTGGGGAAATTATTTTGGTTCAACGTTCCTCACCGTCTCTAAATTTCTCATCGTTTATTCAGCGTGGTGCTGTTGTACGACTTATGTATCACTTGTGTTCCTTAATCCCACCTGCTTTTTAGAGGTAATCTGCAGGAACAGTGGCTCAGCTAACAAAACTGTACTTTAAAATGTTCACCATTTAAATTAAATATTATTTACATGACGGATGTTTGTTTTAAATCAGTTTTAATTATTTCAACAGACAAGGTACCCTCAATGTAACAATTCAAATATTTTGTCTTGATCTCTTTAAGAAATACATATTTATACAAAAATAGTCTAGGGAGCCATCGGAGTAATGATATCAGTATTTTATAATATATTTAAACTTGAAATTAAATTTACACCAAGCAATCATGAATTTTTTGATATTTCAAAGGCAGTATAATTAAAATTCATATACTGTACTTGGCATTGGAAATACCGCTAATAAGTGTTTGATCTGAGAGTGAAATAAATTTAGTAAACATAACTTTTTTAATGAATTATTGAAAAGGAACCCTAATAAAGTAATATGCAAGTCTGAATAAAACCGCAGCACTTAGTATTAGTTAAGTAATTTTTACCATAAATGTGATTGTTTATGCATTTATTCGGTGAGGTGCACATTGTATCTCTTTA